TCCTATCACGCTACCTTCACGGTATGCATCCTAACTTCCTATCATGCTACCTTCACGGTATACATCCTAACTTCCTATCATGCTACCTTCACGGTATGCATCCTAACTTCCTATCATGCTACCTTCACGGTATGCATCCTAACTTCCTATCATGCTACCTTCACGGTATGCATCCTAACTTCCCTTCATGCTACCTTCATGTTCTGCGTCCTAACTTCCCTTCATGTTACATTCACGGTATGTGTCCTAACCTCCTTGCTAACAGGCTGACCCACTGACCTCCAGCTTGCTGAGGCCAGAGAAGGTGTGGTCCCTCAGAGAGTCCACGGCGTTGTGGTCCAGGTAGAGTTCGGTCAGACCGGGACAGGCGGAGAAGGAGCCTTCAGAGAGGGCCGTCAGGCGGTTCGATCCCAGTCGGAGGACACTGAGGCTGGGGAGGATCGGAGCAACGCTGAGGGTCACCTCTGGAATCTGGAAAAACAGAAAGTCATGAAACCTTTAAGTTCTAATTATTTATGAATGAAACACAAAACGTAGTTTTAGGGTTCACTTTCAGACACCTTGTTTCCTGTGAGGTCCAGCTCATAGATTTTGGTGAAGATCTGGAAGGAGGACCAGGACAGAGTGGCGAACTGGTTTTTGGGAAACAAAAAAACCTAAAAAAAAGAGAAGAAAAACAAAGAGAAGAAGACACTCAACAGTCGGGGTTTTTTCTGTCAAACTGTCATCTTATCGTCTGAAACAGGAAGCTGGTGTTTCCGCTGTGGTCTCGTCCCGTCAGTCAAAAACACTTTCGTCCAATCAGGATCAAGTTATATATAAATGTAACGATCTTATATTAAGAGATAACATCGCTCTACAGTCATACAGAAAGCCAAAGAAGCCAGAACCAGAAGTTCTGTTCCAGAAGTGAGAAAATCTCATTCATCTCAATTTTTAACAACAACTAAAGATCCAGCTGGTCAGTTATATTTATTATATATGTATATATTTATTTATTGCATATTACTTTATCATTCTACTAAATACTGATGTTCAAATTCAGGAATTATGAGCAAATTGTAATAGAAAAATTACCAAAATGACTATTTTTAGTTTAAGATGTGTGGAAGGTTTTTACTTTAGGAAACCCAAAACACAGTTAGTTGTTTTTAACATTTAGATAATTTTATTTATGTAAAGATATAAATAAATATTGAAAAATATGAATATTGTTAATAATATAATAAAACTCCAAATATTAATTCTGAAAAATAAACTTTTAATTGTTATATTTTTCTTTTTGGGTTACCTTGGTTGTGGGTTCGAATCCCGCTGGTACATCGGTGAAGTCGCGCGTCGTGCAGTTCTCCCTCGTCCGGTGGTCTTTGTCCCAGTCCCTGTGGCAACCGGCCCACGGCGTCACCGGGAGGACGAGGCAGGACAGGAGGACGAAGACGAAGACGAAGAGCTCCATTCTGGAAGAAGATCCTGAGACTCTGAGAGGAGAAACCACGCCGATGGAGAGGACGACGTAACCAGGAAGTGAAGCAGGAAGTGATAAGACCAGCTGTTGGTCTGTTGATAGTGTTTCTCTCTCTATGTGTTTGTTTCTTAGCTCTTTATTGATGTACATATATTTATATATACTGTAAACGTGATGTATTGTAGACGTTGTGGATCCCTGAGACTGACGGAGGCACAGAGTCGTGTTTTGACGGTTTATTGTCGTCGTGTTGTCTGCAGGAGGATCCTGAGGTTCAGAAACAACAAAAACAACAACAAACACTGGGGGGAGGGGCTACACCGTGATGTCATCGTGTCCATGTCATAGTGAGGTTGTGATTGGGGGCGGGGCCTCTCAGCTGTCGAATGTTCAGGTGTTCTGAACGCCCCCCCCTCCTCAAAAATAACAAAACAACAAACGATCAGAAGAAAAACAATTAAAATGATTTATACAAGAAAACAAACTTCAGATTATGATTCATAATTAACCCGGAAACACACACACACACACACACACATGAACACACATACATACACACACAGACATACACATGAACACACACACACACATACACTAACATACACACACACACATACATACATGAACACACACATACACACACACATGAACACACACATACACACAGCTCCTTGAGCAGCGTCTAAAAGAGCCCGATATTAAACGTTATCATAATTATATCAATAATCGCGATGACGACGTGATGACATCACAAAGCGAAGGTTGGAGGCGGGGTTAAAATACAGGAAGCCAATGAATACACAAACAAAGAAAAACAGCCAATCAGAAGCCCGAGATAAAAAATATCAGAAAAATTAAAAAAACAAAACAAAAAAGGGAAAACTTCATTTCCCATCAACCCCGGCAGTGGCAGCAGGTAAGATTGTCCCGTGATTGGTCGATTCCAGAGACAGCAGAGCAAAACAAGGCAGAAGTAAAAATCTGCTGATGTCATGCTTCTCTGGCCAATCACAATCAGTTATAGTGTCATCATCATCCTTAACATCGTCACTCATCGAGCGCTCCCATTGGTTGGTTCTGACCTTTTGTTAAAAAAGGCCTTAAAGTCACTTTGTCGTTCTCCCACAATGCATTGCTCTGTGTGGGCAGGGTTAACTCCCAGCTGACAGTAAACATGTCGTCTCTCAGGGCGGAGTCAAACCAGCGAGGCTGCGTTCAGGGGAAGTGGGGAAAGTGAGAAATACGTGGCAGGGTTTGGTGTTTTTACAATTTCCCAGGGTCAGTGAACACAACACTGACTCCAACTAATTTGATAATCAATTAATCTGTTCAGTCATTTATCATTTGCTGCTTTTCTCTATTTTATATCATTTTAAGATAGTCTTTCAAGCCTTTAAAGTGACATTAAATGCAGCACAAAATGAGGGAAAAAAGACACTTATCCAACTTCCCGACGTCCCCTGAAGGCAGCAGCAGTTTATCTCCGTCCCTTATAATAATAAATCTTTTCATTGTGAGATCCTTTAAATCACACAGAACATGTCGTAGTGTTTCTACTTCAAAACACAAATCTCTTCTTCTCTTCTCCATCTGTCTCACACTACATTTCCCAGAGTTCCTTGCTCACATGCACCACAATCCATCACGATTCCTTTCACACTCTCCCACGTCTGTATTCTTACATATCCCATGAGGCATCAATTTCTACATTTTTCCCACCGTTGCCAGAGACATGAAGGCAACACGTTAATGATTCATCTTCATAAAATATAAACTTCAAGATAAAATAAGTCTGGAAACACTTCAAATATACACAACGCTTTGAGAAGATTCAACATGCGAGTCTCTCCTCACACCTGTCTGTTTGTCTGTCTGTCCGTCCGTCTGTCTGTCTGTCTGTCTGTCGGTACAGCAGCCTGTCTGTCTTTGGTTTGTAGCGTTCAGCCACGTAGCATTCAATGTCACACGACAAACACGAGCTTCAGGGAAAAGGTTCCCAACAAACAAACTCGTGATTCCCGTACAACATGAACGCTGCCTTGGCTAAGCTAAGCTAAGCTAACTCTCCCCCCTTTGTGCAGCACGTTAGACTTAATAAAAGCTAACCGCTTGTTGCTCCCGGCTCAGGCTAACTGACAAGCCCGAAGCTAACGCAGACTCTCTCTGGCTAAAACGGAGCTAGTTAGCCTCCTGGGCTAACGGCGGCTAACGTACAAACCGACCTACTTCATCTTTAAGTAAACAACAACAACAACAACAACAGGAGACTTCTGCTAACAGTAGCTAGCCACTTGAGCTTTAAGGCACCTTTTGATAAACGACCGATCACGACCACAGCGATCAATAAAAACAGATAACCTGTGCTAATGTGCTAATGCTAGGAGCAGGCTACACACACACACACACACACACACACACACACACACACACACACACACACACACACACACAGCAGGACTGAAGATACAGGACGTGTGTGATGTTAGTTGGTGTGTGACTCAGTATTGTGAAGGTGCTGACGGACACACACACACATACACACACACACACACACCCTGTACTCTACAGCATCAAGTCCTGCAGCCAATCAGAGCGCTCCCTGGGGTCAGATGGGTGTCTCCTTGTTGTGTTTGAGGTCCGGTGCACTGAACTGCCGTCTCATCCTGGGGGGGGTGGTGAAGCCCCACCCACCAGGCGGCGGTGGTGGTGGCGGCCCCGCCCCCAGCAGCAGCATGTCGGCGAGAGGGGGCGGGACCCCGGAGCGCGGCAGGCTGTGGTAGTTGGGGTAAGGTCCCGGCTGGAATGGTGCATTGTGGGGGCTGTAGTAGGGGTGGTGCTGGAACGGGTGTTGCTGGTGAGGATTGTAATAGAAGCCTCCATCTCTGCCCCTCCCCCCCCCTCCCCCTCCTCCTCTCTCACCACCGGGTCCGGGCGATGCCCCCCTCCTCTGTCTCGGTCGTCCCTGGTGACCACCGCCGCCTCCCTGATGATGCTGGTCGTGGTCATAGCTACCGTTGCTGTGGGCGGAGCTGTCCAGAGAGTTGCGGCGGTGGCGCCGTTGCTGGTTCTGGTTGCCGCCCTGGTAGTAGAAGCCGCCCTGGTTGCGTTGCTGCCAGGCGCGATGAGGGCTCGGGGTGCGCATGCGAGGGGGCGGAGCCAGGAAGGGGAGGGGCAAGAGAGGGGGACCCTGAGGGGGAGGGGGCGATGGGGAGCTTTTACCGCCTCCTCCTCCTCCTCCTCCTCCTCCTCCTCCTCCTCCTCCTCCCTCCTCCTCCCCCCAGTCTACCCCTCCCTCCCCCAGACCCAGAGCCTGCAGGGCGGCGCTGGCCGGTCCCCATGACAACCGGTGGGCGGGGTTACTCTTGAAGGGAAACTTGAGCTTGCACTCCTGGGGGGGGATGAAGCGGCCGGTCCCGGGGAGGTGAACGGGGACAACGGGGGAGTTCTGACCTGTAGGGGGGAGGAAGGGGAGACAGGACATCTGTCAGGTGTCTCCTGAAACAACCTATAAAACGCGTCTCAGGTGTTACGTGTCTTGTGTCTCAGGTGTTGCCTGTCTCAGGTGTTGCGTGTCTTGTGTCTCAGGTGTTGCGTGTCTTGTGTCTCAGGTGTTGCGTGTCTCAGGTGTTGCGTGTCTTGTGTCTCAGGTGCTATATGTCTCAGGTGTTACGTGTCTCAGGTGTTACGTGTCTCAGGTGTTACGTGTCTCAGGTGTTGCGTGTCTTGTGTCTCAGGTGTTACTTGTCTCAGGTGTTGCGTGTCTCGTGTCTCAGGTGTTACGTGTCTCAGGTGTTACGTGTCTCAGGTGTTACGTGTCTCAGGTGTCTTGTGTCTCAGGTGTTACGTGTCTCAGGTGTTACATGTCTCGTGTCTCAGGTGTTACGTGTCTCAGGTGTTACGTGTCTCAGGTGTTACATGTTTTGTGTCTCAGGTGTTACGTGTCTCAGGTGTTACGTGTCTCAGGTGTTACGTGTCTCAGGTGTTACGTGTCTCGTGTCTCACATGTCTCGTGTCTCAGGTGTTACGTGTCTCAGGTGTTACATGTTTTGTGTCTCAGGTGTTACGTGTCTCAGGTGTTACGTGTCTCAGGTGTTACGTGTCTCGTGTCTCAGGTGTTACGTGTCTCAGGTGTTACATGTTTTGTGTCTCAGGTGTTTCGTGTCTCAGGTGTTGCGTGTCTCAGGTGTTACATGTCTCAGGTGTTGCGTGTCTCAGGTGTTGCGTGTCGTGGTCTCTGACCCTGGGTCTGGTTCTGTCCTCGTAGTTTCTTGGTGATGTTCTGCTGCTGAAGGTTCAGGAGCCGCTGCTGTTCCTGCTTCAGCCAGCGGAGGCGCCCTCTCCTGAAGGCCGGGTCCTCGTCCATCAGCTGCTTCACCTGGACCTCCGGCTGGCGGCGTTGTGGGGGGGCGTCGCCGGCCTCGCCCCTCTGAGGAGACCCGCCCTCTTCTTCTTCTTCTTCTTCTTCAACGTTCGCCTCCTCGTCCTCGTCGCCCTGGAGACAAAAAGAGGACTTGTTACCGGGGGAGAGACCCAAGACCAGGGAGCAGGACCAGGACGTGGTGTGTGGATGTACCTGGACAGGTATGATGCTCTCCATCTTGATCATCCGGTCTCTCAGAGCTTTGATCTCCTCGTCCTTCATGTTGTTCTGCAGCTTCACTTCCTGGAAGACAAGTGAGGAGAGAGGAGAGGAAACAAGACAAGAGAGGAGACAAGACAGGAGAGGAAACAAGAGAGGAGAGGAGACCAGAGAGGAGACAAGTGAGGATAAAGGAGAATATACAAGAGAGGAGAGGAGACAAGAGAAGAGAGGAGACAAGAGAGGAAACAAGGGAAGAGAAGAGAGGAGACAAGAGAGGGAATAGACAAGGGAGGGGAAGAAACCAGAGAAGAGAGGAGACAAGAAAATAGGAAACAAGGAAAGGGAAGAGAGGAAACCAGAGAGGAGAGGAGACAAGGGAAAAGAAGAGAGGAGAGGAGACCAGAGAGGAGAGGAGACAAGGAAAGGGAAGAGAGGAAAGAAGAGAGGAGAGGAGACCAGAGAGGAGAGGAGACAGGAGACACATGTTATCTATGGATACAGTCTCTGTCCACTCTGATCGATCAGGATGGATTGATCAGTGAACTCACCTCCAGAATGTCGGTCAATTTATCGATGTGAGCCTTCAGGTCGTACGCCTTCTCTCCTCCTCCCTCCCCCGTCTCTCCCCCTCCCCCCCCCTCCTCCGTGGGGGGGCTCCTCTCCTCCCCGATGCCCACCGTGTCACACACGTCCTGGGACACCAACCTCCAGCTCTCTCTCTCGTTGGGGTCCTTCTTTACATACATGCGGCTCAGCTCCTTCATCTTCACGATGGACAGAGCTTCTATCTCCTGACGGGAGTGACGGAAGTCTCCCAGAGCCACCTGGGGGGGGGGGGGCCTCAGTAACTGTTCTCTATCTGACTCGTGTTGAGACATTGTGTGTGTGTGTCTATGTGTGTGTGTGTGTGTGTGTGTGTGTGACAGACCTCGTAGCAGATCTCCTTGACCGCCTGCATGCGGAGGTCCTCCATGGTGACCCGTTTTGGGTCTTTGCTGATCCTCCTCCTCTGAGGGATCTGGTAGACCCGGAGAGGCTCCCTCCTCTTCCCACTGCTGGGGAGACCACACCGCTTCACTATGGACTGGACCTGGAGAGACAGGTGAGACAGGTGAGAGAGACAGGTGACAGGAGAGAGAGACAGGTAGAAGGTGTGACAGGTAGACAGGTAGAAGGTGTGACAGAGAGACAGAGAGACAGGTAGAAGGT